ATTTATAAGTGATGATAGGTGGGTTAGTATGGGTTAGAATGGTTAAAAGTCAATATGAATGGATTAAGTGGGTCAATATGGGTGGGTTATGACCCTTTAATAAGGATTGATGATGGATCATGATGGGTTGGTGGGTCAATATGGGTTGGTTGGTATTCAACCCTTACCCAACCCACCCGTTTGCCACCCTAGATGAAATTAAAAAGTTTAAAACCTTAAATATAAGATAAATGAGAGGGATTTGAATGAAGAAAAAATAATTATTTAAATTATATTTATATACTTTCCTTACAATTAGAGAGGTACCAAATTAAAAAGTTGGAATATTTTAGTGAAACAAAAATTTCACACTCCTTATTATTGATATTTCAGATTTATTTCTCCCATTTTCATTATTCCTATTTGAGATTCGTCAGAGGAACATTGGAAAAGACAAAGCACAAAACTCTTGTCCGCTGCCATAAATCTGCAATTCTACTTTGTTCCATCGCATTTGCTACTTGCCATCGTGTTGCTCGTTGTTTCTACCAAAACAGCTAATCAAAGTATCAAACCTTAAAAATTTGCCTTGCACCCCAGTCCTCACTGAAAACAAATAGAATAGTTTTGGTATGTCGTTCAATGCATTTATTTGAAGTAAAATACTGTGCTTGGATGTTTTGTTGAATGAACGATTTTATTTATCCAGCAAAAAAATAAAAAATGTTTCAAGAAAATGTCTCATGAAAGTTTGTAATTACATTCGCCAAATGCCTGAAAAAAAACAGAGTTTTGTTCATAAGCTGCCTGAAGACCATTTGGAAATCCGAAAATCTGATCAGAGCTGAATTTGAATCGGACGTTCAAACATTTGATCAAATTTCGGATTGAAGTCGGATTAGGGCTATAAATAAGTTAAATAAGATTTTATTTGAATCCGAATTCGATTCGATAAGAACCAAATTCGGATACTTCCCTTGATCTTAATAAATCGGATCGAATTGAAAAATTGATCTGTTTAATTAATAAATCGAATTTGGATATTTATGAATCCAGTTCGATCTTTAATTATAAAATAGAAAAAATTCTCAATCAGTATCTTGTATTTTGACTTTAATGACAATTTTATTGCGAAAATTCAGATACTTTATATATATTATAAAGTATTACATATTATATATTTTATATATATTCTAGAAATTTCCCTTGTATTTCGCTTCATGTGAGTAGAAAAGATAAAAAGAATTCTTTGAAGCATAAGAAAAACATTGGCCCGTCGCCAAATGGAAATGGCGCATTAATCTCCTGCTCCTAGGCCTAATGACAATTCGGGCCCAAAATCTATGCCAAAATGGACCTATTCATTGCCACGGGTCATCTTGGCTTTTGTCGCCTTCCTTTGGGATAATTTGGGGGGTCGGTTCGTGCGGGTCCATGCCGTGCCATGGGCCTAAGCCGTGCTGTATCACCGACTTAGGCCATGTCGGGCTGGGCCACAAGCTGGGCCTAAGGTGTTGGTTGAATCGGGCTAAACTGGTTTTTTACTTTTTTATTTTATTTTTTGTTTTTTTGGCATTTTTTATTTTTTATTTCCTTGCTAAGTAAAAGTGTAAAACTAAAATATTTAACTTTATTTTGGCCTTTGGGAACTATTTGAAAAAAAATAAGAAATGAAAAATCTAACAAATAAATGAAAAAAAAATACTTAACCAAATAAGAATGAAATGACAAATTGAAAGAAGAATAAGAATTTTATTTGATTTAAATTTGAATGATACAAATTACAAAGCATACAATGGTTGGATACTTGGATGAATGAAATATGGAAATAGAATGTTGAAATAAATTAATAAAATATAAAAAATACAATATAGTTACAAATTGAAAATACAAAATTACATTGTTAAAAAAATAGCAAATAAATTAAATAAAATTAAAAAATTTTACAATAATTTGAAAAAATGCTATACAACTATTGAGTGAGTATACAAAAAATATTGACTTTATCATTTTCTGATTTTCTCCTATTGTTCATGACTTTCAGCATCTACTTCAGGTGAAATATCGGGTTATCATGCCCTACTTTGTCTTGTAATTCGTCTTCAGCATACAGTCAATTTTTAAAGTAGATGCATATTTTTATACTTTCAYCAGTCATACAACTTCTAGTTGTCCAGCCAATTTTTAAAGTAGATATATATTTTTATACTTTCATCATTCATACAACTTCTTATTGTCCAACACCCTAATACCTACACTAAAACAAAACTCCAATGGAATTGTAACATCGAAGGGGTTAGTAGATCACGTGCCATGTCAACGAGAACTGGATAATTTTTTGAATGTTCACTCCACCAAACTAAAATATCAAAATTATTTATTTCCTCACCTAAAGTAGAACATTTTGCTTGTAAATAAAAATTAAATTCAATAAATGAACTTGTTGTTGAGGTAACAGATTTTTTTACTTCTACTTATTAAATAAAAAAAAAATTCTTTTCTATTATTGGGCTCAAGTTTAGAAGTAGAAGATGAAGTTGTACAAGTTGTAGAATTATTTCATATTGCTTCAATTTCATATAAACTATACATTTCAAATAATAAACTATTAATTTCTTCTTTTTTATTTCCAATTTCAATATTCATATTTTTACAATGTGTTTCAAGTAAAATATCTAAACCATCTTTCCTAATCCTACGATCTAATATTATAGCTAAGCAATAAAGAGGAGAAACGTTCTCCTAATATTTTTTAAATATATTTTCCATTATTTCAATAATACTTTTAAATTGTGAATTATTTCTATATTTTGCAAAACAATCACTAATCACCATTAATTGATAAGGTAAATTACAACTAGTTAGATAATAAATATCCAATAACTCATTAGCTGCATCATAAAAATGTTTTAAAAATTTATACAAATAGCCATTTCCCAATCTTACTCAAATATAATATCATTAGGCATTTTTGCATTATAAAATCATTAAGAATTTGTTTATGAGAAATACAACTTTCCAACATAGCATACGTAGAATTCTATCTATGTTTGACATCTAATATAAAATGTTTATATTTTAAACCATAATTTTGACATAAATATTTAAATCATTGTTTTCTTGATCTAAAACTTTTAATGTATATATAATACAATTTCTAATTTTAGAAATATGGGTAGAACTAATATTTAAAACATCTTGAATACATAAATTTAAGATGTGACATGTGCATCTGATGTGAAATAATTTATCGTTTAAACATGGTTTTAATTGATATTTTAAAATATTTATTGTTGAATCATTATTACTAACATTATCAAAACTAATAGGAAATAATTAATTTTCAATTCTATAAACATGTAAAGTATTTAAAATGCTTGCAACAATAACTAGATATGTGGCAATTTAAGCCTAGTAAAACTTAATTTTTTTTGTTTAAAAGCCAATTTTCATCAATAAAATGATCGGTAACAGAAATATAACTTATGTTAAATTTAGAAGTTTAAACATCAAAATTAATTGCAACTTTAGAATTAAGATTTGATAACATATATAGTATTCCTAGAAACTTTTATAAATTGTGGATTTATAGAATTATGTAACCATTTTTCAAATTTAGTATATTCAATTAACAAAAATGATTATTCAGCATGTACAATGTATTTTGCTAATTCATGCCTCATTTTTTCTTGAGAATATTTAAATGTACCAAAACCCCCCACTCGATTTGTGTTTGTGTTGTTTCTCTCCCTTCTTCTTCTTCTTCTTCTTYTGCTTCTGCTTTTTCATGAATGAACAAATGTTTACCCAAATGGCTAGTACCACCCCTGCTACAATAGCTAAAGTCTTTTCTATATTTTTGGCAAACAATTTTCCCTTCCTCTCAACCTTCTCTACTTTAAATATTTTCCAAATCGAGCTAATCAATTTAGAGGTCATCTTTTTCTTTCCCCTAGCATCAATACTATGGGTGGAAGTTCCATCAATATCACTAACATCCATATCGGTGCTAACATTATCATAATGCAAACTGAATATCGTTGACATTGAACATGGCAGGGAATTGGTTGTGAGAAGAGTCAACAATTTTTTTAAATTCTAAAATAAAAATTAATTTAATTGGATTTACCCGGATTGTTGGTTAAGAATCCCAACTTGATTTCAAGAGTTGAAGCCTTTCAACTGTAAGAGTTCAAGCCTCCCAAATTGCTAAGTTGAGATACTTGAGCTGGTTGAACAAGCCTTCTTGTTGAAACTTCAATAAAATTGAGAATTGGAGAATTAATCAATCAGAATTCAGAAAAATGTATGAGAGATTGAAAATTTGAGAGATTGAGAGATTGAAACTTGAGAGAATATGAGAACTAGAGAAGAGATTAAGAGAATTGTTGAATTAGTGTGATAAGAAAGATGGAAGATAGGACTATTTATAAGAATTGAAAATAATTCAATTACCCAAAATACCCTAAAAACTAGCTATTTTTTAGTAATTAGAAATAGTATTTTGATCATTATAAAATTATTTATTACTTTACCCAAAATGCTTCCTAAACTAATTATTTAATAATTATTAAAGAACATTTGTGTCATTTTTTCTATTCTCTTTATAGTTGTTTATAGCTATTGAAAAATATTTTTGTAAAAAAAAAACCCTAAAAAATGAAACTAGTCCAAAATCGGGGCCGATTTACACCAATACCGGCAGGCAGCAGGTGACCAGCACCTCCCCTCCCCTCCATCTGCTCTGACTGCTGACTCCTGAGTGCACGGCTGACCACAGACCCTACTCTTCCCTGACAGCTGACGCTTGCTCGTGAGCATGTTTACGAAGTGTTCATCTAGCCACGTGTAAACTGCAACTCATGCATGGCACCACAGGTCGATACATGTTTCAGTAATACTATTAAACAAATAAATTTCAACTTTTCATTTTATATATTTCTCTCGGTACATTTTAAAAATATAATATTTCCCACCTTGCAATATAAATATAAAATAAATAATGAATTTCTCCTACTGGCTCCTCTCTCTCTCTCTCTCTCTCTCTCACAACTTCTCTCTAGCTCTCCCCACTCCCGAGTCCCCATCTAATCGCAGACATGGAGGAAGAAGGAGAAGTATGGACGACGGAAGAGGAAGAACAAACATACACAGCTCACCATACAACGATGCCAGCCGGCTTGATAGAAGAAGAATTCGAAGAATTGAAGCCGATCATCAACGACTTCCACACGTATCGTATCGGCTCGAGCAAATGCTCATCTCTACTCGCCCAACGTATACAAGCTCCGCTGGACACAGTCTGGTCCGTCGTCCGTCGATTCGATAAACCGCAGACGTACAAGCATTTCATCAAGAGCTGCTCGCTTAAAGAAGGGTCCCAGTCTCCCACCACCGTCGGATGCCTGAGAGAGGTCAACGTTATATCTGGGTTACCGGCGGCGACCAGTACGGAGAGATTGGATATACTGGATGATGAGAGACACGTGACAGGTTTCAGCATCATCGGCGGAGAGCACCGGTTGAGGAACTACCGATCGGTGACGACGCTGAACGAGTTCAGAGGAAGTGATGGGAGGATCTGGACTGTCGTTTTGGAGTCGTATGTAGTAGATGTGCCGGAGGGGAATACCGACGATGATACTCGCATGTTTGCTGATACGGTGGTGAAATTAAATCTGCAGAAGCTGGCGTCGATGACAGAAGGTTTAGCTTGTGACAACGACAGAAGAAACACAGGTGCGTGATAAAAAACAAAACCAAAAAAAAAATAAAGAAAGAAGAACCGAAGAACAAAATGAACATCGATCTTCCCACGTTTTCACTCTTTTCTGTTCTTTCCCAAGAGAAATTACAAATGATGTCGACGAAGGCTTCCATTAAGATGGCCGGAATGCTCTGTACTTGGTCTGAAATGTGCCATTTTCTTTACTCAAACAAGTTAGGAGCATGTTGGTCAATGATCATAGTGTTTAAAGAAATGGAGAACTTTCGTTTCTCTTTTGTTTTCGTTTGTGAATGTGATGGGCAAGAGTGAAGGAAATGCTTGGATAAAGGGTGGACAATGGACGTCTTGATGATTCTCTCCCTCCCTCTCTCTCTCTGTCTCTCTCTCTCTCTCTTGTCAGTGGGTGGGTGAAAACTGAAAACTGAAAAAATTGGGTTCATGGTTAATTTTGGAAATTTCAATTTGTTACAGTTTCTCATGCATCATTGTAAATATTGCTTTGTTTCATCTACTTTTTCATTTGTGCGCGCTATACATGCTTGTGTGAAATTTCAAGTTGGGACCTCACCTGGGGTTGCAGGTTTATTTGAAAGGGAGACAGTTTTAATGTGGAGGTTGGAACAGTAGTGAAGCTCTTAATGGAGGGAGGAGGGAGAAACAACAGAGCTCAGATATATTTTAGAGGGAGAGAGAGAGAGAGAGAGATTGTTTGGGTCAGTGAATAGGAGTTCTGACTTCTTAGTGTACGTTAGGTGGGGAGAGTACAGGCTACGGAGTGTACCTGCTGATGGAATAGAGAGTGTCAGTTCGATAAGCGAGTATCCAGGTGAAATGGGAAACCAAATTAAGCGGTTTTTCGGTTACTGACTAGAGTATAACTATATGCATTCCCCATTTCTGGTTATATTTGAGCTCACGTTCTTCTTAGCTGTTTATTTTAATTACAAGGGGCGATGGAAATCCTGGTTTTCGGGTTAGGCCGGTAGGGTCTCCCATGGATTTGGATTTGGATTTGGATTTGGTTGGTTTGAACACCTTGATCGATGTCCACATACCAAATAAAACTAGACTAGTCAGTAAAGTACCCAGGCCACGAGGACTTGTTTGTTTCTGCGCCTTTCTCTGGCCCATTGAAGGAGGTTTCTCTAGAAGTATCCATTCGAGCTTTCTAATGCTCAATCACAATCGTGAATCTAGAATCTTCGTCAATCAGTATCTAAACAGTAGTTGGATAGGAACTGTCGCTGTGGGGTCCTGAAACTTCCAATCAAAGCCCAAAGCCGTATTTTAATTTTTAATGCAGTAGGAAGGAGAGGAGGACATTAATAAAAGAAATTTGTATTTCTTTAAATAAAAGTTAAGAAATATTAATGTACGGTTGATACAAACAACGCAAGCGCACTCGCGTGCACGTTCACATCTTTATCTCTTAATTCATATCCATGTAGTGGGCCTTCAGTGCTGGTGTGCTCCTCGCCCTTCATGACATGAATGACTTTTCTTTTTCTTTTTTAATTCAATGTCTTTCAAAATTTTTGAGTCTTAACAACAGCATAACCGAAACCCTATAGAATAATATTAATGGAAAAAGTAGCAAAATTTGTGGAAGCTACACGTGTCAATCGCTCAGGCACATAGAACTTAGAACCCACCTCTGTTGATCGTGATTCGTGGGGTGGGTTGGTGTGCTGTGTGCATCGTTAGATTGAATAAGGTGTGGGTTGCAAGCCGGTTGAAGTCAACCTAATCCAAATTTCATCCCACGAACCCAACGTTGCAGACCTAGGTAAGTTAGTGATGACGTGGGGGAGGGCATAGATCATAGAGGGTTGCTGTCATCACATCAGTGGGGCCGTACTTGTACCTTATCGAGTTTTCAAACCAAGCATCTACTGGTTTGCTGTCTTGGAAAAATAAGTGTGGAGACGGCAAGCCACGTGAAGGGCACTAAAGTCTCGTGAAAGTAAGGCTAGAAAGGTGGAGTCTCTTTGATAAGTGAAAGGGCACCCGTGTAGTCAAGCAAGTTGCCAACTTGCCAATTAATTATTAGTAAGAGTTGTAAGAGATAGAGAGAGGAGAGAGAGTCTGCGTGTGCAGATAAAGAGAAACACAAGACTACAAAGACAAGCTTTAGAGAAAAAAAAAATCGTAGAATCTTTCCCCCTTTTGTCTCCACATATTTATTTTTTATTTGTGCAAAAAAAGCGTGGTCACAAGGTGGGAAAAAGCAAAGGAAGCAACAAGCAAGAGGGAGGCATTAAGCAATGGACCCACCTTTTTGTGGATGCCACTCCTTATCCCTCTTACTCTCTCTCTCTCTCTTGATACCTAAGTAATTTATGTTATGTGATAGGGTTTTTCTCTATTAAGGTTGGCTTGTGGGACCAAACAATTTGACGTAGATGGTAATTAAGCATCTCCTTTAAAAGAAAAAGTTTATGTTATGTGATAGGGTTTTTCTCTATTATGTATGTGTTTGGTTTCGTTTAGATTTATTGAATAAGTGTTTTGTATTTGTATGGCTGTAAAACTGAAGAAAGTAATTTATGAGGTGACATCATTAAACACCACATCAGCAAAAGGTACCAATAAACACTTATCCATTGGGGAAATTCCAAAATGAAGTTTCTTAAAATGAAAGAACACATAAAAATTGATATTTTGTAAACTTCGATATATACAAATGTGTATAATGAGACCTTTGCTGATGGAATGTTTATGTGGCAACGTTTATCCAATAAACATAAATGAAACCAAACACATACTATATTAATAAATTAACCGACTTCTTACACACGTGTCCTACCGGCTGGGCCTTCTTGGGCTGCCATCTCTTGCACTCACCGTGAGCAATTTAACAAAAAAAAAAAAGTCCCTGACTCAGAAAGTCGTGTTTTTGCCAGTTTATGGGCTAAACTATTGCAGTTTTTATTTACAACATTGAAACAGATATTAAGAGAGCTTGAAAATTTCAAGATATCCTTGCAAAGGAAGAGGGCATCCCTGGCCCGGTCACTTTCCCTCGTCTGGGGTTCTTGAGCTTCTTCAAAAGGATAGGAACACCCTCGTTAAGTACTCATGAGAACCCTGAACTGCAACTTCATACAAAGAAAAAAAATAAGATAAAATAATGGTCTGTTTGATTTGTAGGAATAGGGGTCTGGAATGGAAATTGGAATGATTCGTTTCAATTCCAACCGGTGGAATGACATCCCCTCTCTTTCATTGAGAATGAGAATCCCATTTCAGTCTGTTTTCATTTTAATTCCGATGTGTTTTTTGTTTGAACCAAACAAGCAAGAAGACGATTCTGACCATACAAACCAAAGGGACCCTAAATAAAAAAATAAATTGTAAGCTTGATTCATATTTTGACTGCTAATACATTAGACTGTGTTTGGTTCCACAGAAAATATATAAGAGAGAAACAGGAAGTTGAGGGAAAGTTTAAATAGGAACCTGTGTTGAAATTTCTGTTTAGTTGGCTGATTTTGGTGATTTTCAGAAAATCGATCACCTTTTTTTGATAATTTCCTGATTTCTAGCTAATTCCGATTTTTGAGGATGGTATAACATCCAACATGACATTGAATAATAACTCTAATGCAAAATTAATCGGCCCTTGAGAATCAGAACCAAGCAGATTGGCTTACATGGCAGAAATGATACCAAATAACAAAATTTATCGATTTTTGAAAAAACACTGATTTAAAACAAAAAAATGATAAGGAAAAATCATCATCAATGCCAAACATTAGTCAAAATGCCTCCTATGAACACTAAGTTTTTAACTGTAAAAGAAGGTAATCCTTAAAATAAGGAATGCCAAATGAATATGTGTCATAGCATATATTATAATACTTCAAGTCATCAATACACTAAATAATGAGAATTAGGTGATATTAATTGTTTGGGAAATTTTCAGTTTAGTATCCTATACTTTAAGTGTAGTGTTTAGTTAGTACCCAAACTTCAAAATGTGTCATTGCACTACCCAAACTTTTAAAAAATGTCAATTCAGTACAGCCATTAATAGTCGCATGTGATGTCACATGTGATTTAAACGAGAGAAAATGAACAATAACGGAATAACCAGAAATCAGAAACAACTTCCTTCCTCCAACATATATTACTTCATGCCTACCCATAGCTGTTGAAATCTCTTAAGGCTCAGTTTGGAAGGAATACATATAAAAATTTGTAGAGTGCAAAACCTTGTATTTTGTATATATTTATACAGTATATATTTGTATTTGCACCCCTTCCAAATTGAGCTAAATCATAAATAATTCCATGGTTTAACTTGTATAACAGTGGTTCTTCTTCATTGGGCTTACCCAGGTGGACCTGCTTGGGGAGGTATTGGTGGAAGAAAGGAACCAGAGCCAAACCAATATCAGGGCCGAGATGACTCCCTATGTTTTGGAAGCATGGATTTTATGGCTGGCCTCACGCATTGCCAGCTAGCACCTAAGGCCATGTTTGGTTCAATTCTCATTCTTACCCAAGATGAAATTCTAAAATGGAAAAGAATGGGTGAAAATAGGCAGAATGAGAAAATATTGCTATAAACCAAACGTTTTTTTCCTAAAAATGATTTCATTTCAAACTAACAAGTGTCCTATGTTACTCATTTTCATTCTTCAAAAAAAAAAAAAAATTATGTTGGTATTCACAAACTGCCAACCTAAGTCTCCAATAGTCAATGTTTACCAATTGGCATAGATGCTTTGTAAAAGTACTTTTGTAAAAGTAATTTTATAAAAGTACTTTCGTAAAAATGCTTTTATAAAAGTACTTTTGTAAAAGAGCTTTTATAAAAGTACTTTCCTAAAAGTGCTTTTCTTTCATAAAAGTACTTTTGTAAGTGTTTTTATAAAAGTACTTTCGTAAAAGTGCTTTTATAAAAGTATTTTCATAAAAATGCTTTCATAAAAGTACTTTCGTAAAAGTACTTCCATAAAAGTGCTTTTATAAAAGTGATTTTATAAAAGTGCTTTCATAAAAGAACTTCCATAAAACTACTTTCCTAAAAGTACTTTTGTAAAAAGTTCTTTTATAAAAGTACTTTTGTAAAAAATGCTTTCATAAAAATACTTTTATATAAAAGTTCTTTCGTAAAAGTACTTTTGTAAAAGTACTTTTATAAAAGTACTTTCACAAAAGTAAACATCTATGACGAGTTCACAACAGTTTTATAGGTAGAGTTTCATCAAATAATGAAATGAGCAAGATAGGGCTTGATTATTTTTCATGCTGCAAGCTAGTCAAATTTTTTGCTATGGGGCTGATTTTTCATTCTAAAAAGAATGCGACCCTGGCAAGAATTTTGTAACAAAAAACTCTAATGCTATTCATTTTTGCCCATTCTTGCGTAGGATGAGCAAGAATTAAGAAAATGAGGACCAGGGCAGTGAACCAAACATGGCCTAAGGTGAAACAGTGCGGAACCAGTTGACTCATGACTTTCAATCTCCGAGGG